GTCGTAGTAGTAGTAGTAGTAGTAGTAGTAGTAGTGGTAGTAGTAGTAGTACTAGTAGTAGTAGTAGTCCTAGTAGTCCTAGTAGTAGTAGTAGTAGTAGTTGTAGTAGTAGTAGTAGTAGTAGCAGTAGTCGTCGCAGGAGGAGTAGTAGTAGCAGGAATAGTAGTAGCAGCAGTGCAGTGGCACTGGCACTGACAGTCGGCAGAGGCAGAGGTAGTAGCAGTAGCGGCAGCAGGGGGGAGGAGTAGGAGTAGAATTAAACCCTGACGCAGACAGCACTACAGTAGAGGGGTCCGAAGTGCTAAGACGTGCTGGGGCGCATCATGTAGCAGTTTAGGTCCAGACTCAAACTCAAGAGGACCAGCATGAGCGTTTCCGATGATTGCCGCGGTTCCGCTATGCTGGATTTGGGTGTGCTTCTTTGCCAGAGCCCTGAAGCCGACAGACTCAATAACCATCTTGGCTTAAGCTGCCGGGCCCGTGTGTTTACGAGGCTGAACACGGTCTTAAGTTTCAGTACTTTAGGCCAGGCTTTTGCAGAGAACCCCTCCATGAGGCACCCTACAAGTAGAACCACGGTGAAGAAGATTGCTGGACAGGACCTCAAAGACAAGCACAGTGAGGCGCCTGACTAGGAGTTATGTCTTTTGGGGCTCTCAGGGTCGACAGAAAGTCTTGTGGGGTGAAAATGAACTGCGTTGCGTCTGAAGTCTGGATGCGAGGTGCATCAGGCTGGCCTCCTCAACGCGAAGCCTGCAAGAAACAGAAGTAGGCAAAGGAACTTAAAGCTCTACACTCTGAAATGGGGTTTGAAGCCCGTATCAGCAGTAATCTCAAGCTTGAGGGGGACGAGGGGGGGGGGGGTCCCTGTCGGCCCTAGCCAGTCATGATCAAGAATAGGGGTTTATTATCCACAGAACCCGAGGCCTCAAGGCCTCGACCTTCAATCCATCCTTGTAGCCGATGCAAAGGATCCCTCCAGAAAGGACAGGGAGAGCTACTGTACGGCCTGGTTTACTGTAAGTTGTTCACATCCGCAGGCCTTCCGGACACCCCGCTTCTTGCATAAGATTGTGTGGTGCAGTGATACGTTTCATAGGTTGCATAACGGCAATCACCTCAGGCACTCGCAATGAACTTTATCACCCAAGTGGCCATCGCGAAGAACGATTACGACAAGGCAGCCCGTAGCTTAGGTGATACAAGATGATCAGATTCATCGCCCACTGCTCCGGGCCGTCACTCTCTGGCACATTCTATGCGCTGGCACAAACGCAGCGGTCACAGATTATCGTGGGTGGCACAGCACCAGTAAGTATTGACACAAGTCGTGCTGAGGTCGTTCATTGCTTGTGGTCTATACAGCCGGCTCCAGAACTCTAAGCCCTAAACTCCAAAGCCTAAACCTCGCACCCGAAATCCTCAACTCGATGTATCACGGCACCCTGCTCCAAATCCGTCCTTCTCTGGTCGGGCTCGGGGTTTGGGGATGAGCCCAAGACCCTGCAGCCACAGAGTACAGTACAAGTTGAGTTGGTCTACGATTTCAGGAGGTCTTGGCTCTGGCATTCTGCAACATAGCCGAAGCGCACAGGTTACTTCAGTTTCGGATCAACGCTTTTGTTTCGGGCTCAGGGTTGAAGGGTGGAGGAGTCAAGGGTCTAGGACGAGGGTTTAGGGCTTTTGGGGGCTTTCTGGAGCCCCGGAGCAGACACAGATGTAGGGCATGCCCTTTGGAGCCTAAGGCCCAGTTTGGCGCAGGATAGTTTCTGAAAAGCTTTCCTGTGAAATTCGAGAAGCAGAAGCCTGAGAAATAGAATGCGCCATGGGCCCCTTTTACTCATCATGATTCTGGCTCTCGGCCGTTCGCTTCTTCTTATGATTACCTGCGGCGGTGCCGCAAACCCAGGGACAGCCTTCGGAGCGTCCTTCTAGGGTTTGGGGTGAGGTCTTTAGGGGTGTAGCCTCAAGTGATGCCAAAGGAATCCCGCGGAATGATACTTGCAGTTGTTCAAGCTTCCGCTTTATGTCCGAACCCCCCAACCCTCATCTACCACACTTCCCATGCAGGCAACGCAGACGGCGCAAGAGCAAGCTGCTATGTTTGCGGAGTCTGGCGACAAAAGCAAGGCTGGGCCATCCTACAACCCTGGCTTTAGGGAGACCTCCAGACTTAAAGATTTCGAAGCATTCAATTTTGCGGCTTTTGATGTTCTCATATTTCCAATTCCGACGGCAAACAGATCCCTCCAGACTTCGGGGCACCTTGCAAGCTAACAACACCTTTGACTTCTAGATCTGTAGCTGGGCTGGTTTGGATTCTGCCGTGCACAAGAGCCTGGCCTCGTTGAGGAGGGCAGCGTGGTTTAGGTGACTGTAGGAAGAGCTCCCAACCTGGGTAGGAGATGTGTTTCGAGTCCAGAAAGAGGTTTGCAGTGTCAGCTGCCATGAACCTCTTCAGAGGTCAACAATTCAGTTTGTTAGACTGCCGACAGGACCCTAATTATGCGAAAATCTCCTGTCAGTGTAACACTCGAAGCGATGTGTTTTTTGAGAGTCTAGCTGGAGCCTGGCTGTCTAACTTATCAGCATAGAAACCCATCGAAGAGAAACCCTAACAACAAAAGCATCTACTAGGATCCTCACTACAAGTGCTCCATCATCGACAGACTTCTCATGCTGCAACAGCCACATAACCAGGCAAAGCTTCATAATGGGGAACACTGACTGCGTTCCAGGATTTGGGTTGTTTGTTCATGTTCGTAGTTGGCTGTCCTGCTCAAAGGTTTGGCTTACTTCCCGAGGGTGCAAAGAAGTGCCCGCCCCCGGCTAGGTTCGAGAAGAGAAGACTAGGTCAACAAAAACACAGATGGCAATACTGGAACAAGCGAAACTGCCGTTAAATGCATTAAAGCTCCATGTGTAGTATGAGGCCACAAACGGAAATCATGTTCGTAAGCTTTAAGTATGTCCCTAGTGCATTCACTACTTGGACTGAGACACGATATTCCTCCCTCTGCTTGGTCGTCATTGCAACCGAGGATCGAGCGGAAACGTGACACAAGAAGCATTCTGATTCTAAGAACGCCCAAACCATTGCAGCCCCGGTCTAAGAACGCCTAAACTCGAAACCCCTCGCAGGAAGCATCCTGCCTGCTCACGGTTGCCACCATCTTCGGCACCGAAGGCAAGATGGATGATGCACTGCGAGTGGCGAAGGCTGGGTCAGGGCGAAGGCTTAGTTTGATTTTGTAGGTTTCTCGGTGTCTGTGCGGCCTGGGAGGGCTTAGAATTGCATTCTGTCCTGCAGACCAAAGTGATGGTTCCGATGCTACGTTCTTCAGCATGGATATTCTTCCACGTGGTCTAGTCTAGGTTCATGAGGCCCTGAAGCTCGTCCCGAGCATCAATTGCTGCCACTGGTTTTTTGACCCAGGGATACAGAAACCGTAAACTCTGCAAACTGGAAGGTAAGTCCCCGAACTGGAAGGCTGAGCCCGCCAAAGCTTGAAAGCTTCCAAAGCTGATTCCCAGCCGAACCACGCAAGTCGCGGACCTCGTGTGCTTCATGGGTAGATCCAGACATCCTTGTTTCACTTTCTACAACCGACGGCTTAAGAGAACTTCCCAAATCCCACGGCTTCCAGCCACAAGCCCGAAACTCCCAAAACCCCCAAGTCCTAGCATTTTCAGTTTTCAACCCTGCCCTACAGCCCACTACTAAGTGCTGAAGAGCTGGGTATGGATGGCTACGTGCTTGCAGCGTAGTGGTTGTCGCCAAACCCAGTTTTCGGGCTGAGTTGCATCTGCGACTCTGTACCAGACCCTCTCCTGGCCCAGAGGGTTCGCTCTGGCAACGCAGGATCCCGAAAAGCCTGAGACCCTTGCAAAGCCTTTAACTCCCTAAAACCTAGTACCTAGGAGTTCTAAACCCCCTTCGATACTGGGTTGCCACCCACTACTGAAAAAAACAGGTTTCACAGCTCAAATTAGACTCGGTTCCTTTACGGATTCCTATTGTTTGAAGGGCTTCTATGAGGGCTCCCCTTTTTGCTTCGATCTGCCATCGCAAGCCCACGAAAAATCATCAACGCCCCCCAGAATTGAAATTGGCAGGAAGCCCAGGAGCTCTTTCAGGAGAAGAAGCTCAGAGCTTGCTAGGGTTTGGGTTTTCGGGTATGTCGGTTTAAGAGCGTTTGTTGAGGTTTAGGGTTTGGGTTTTCGTGTGTTTCGGCTTAAGAGCGGTTTGCTAGGGTTGGGGCTTGAGGGTGGGGGGTGGTCTGCCATGCCTAGCATATGGACTCAACTTGGCCCAACACGTTTTCGGTGTTCGATGGTCTGCCCAGTCAATGACGATTAACATAAGGGCCTGAATACCATGTGATTTCTTCGGGTTCCCATATAGAACTAATGTATTCAAGTAGCATGAAAATACCCCCCCCCGGCCCCCCCAGCGCCCTATTAAAACAACCTGCTATATTAGGCACTCCTTCCTCCTTTCTGGCACTTCCGGGTTCCAAACAGTAGCTGAAGGAGTTAGATGATTCGGGCCTTGGGGTCGGTGACAATCTGTTTCCAGAACCCCAAAGGCTAAACCCCGATGCGCCTTTATCAGGTTCTTGCGTGCAGTGAAGTGTTGTGGATGAGCTTGCAAAAGCAATGGTTTCACCTCAACAGGCTCTCGAACCCACATGCCTCGCCGGGTTTGTCCGAGTGTGAGCGCTGAAACCCTTATGCGAGGTAGATTATTTGGCCCGATAAAGGAAGCTTGCGAGCTGAAACATAGAGGGGACAGTGTTTCGCAATACTCTTCCTTAGACTTGACTTGTAAAGTCACACGAAGGATAGAGACCCCCAACACACCCTAGGCCCTAGGCTAACGATAGTTTCAGGCATCTGTATTATAAGCTTCGCGTGTTTTTATTCGGGGAGGACAATTAGGCACTGAGGTTGCGAAAGAGCTTTGCAGCTGCTTTGGCATGTCGAGGTGTAGGATGTAATCAGAGCGCTCTTGGGGTTTAGGAAAGTTTAGGGCTGTTGCTTGGCTCGAAATCCAAAAACCCGCTTTAGCCCTCAACCCGATCCTGTCCTGAGCGAACCTAAACGCCCTCAGCCCCGAAAGGCCTCCAAGAAAACATAAACAGCACAAAACACGCCATGCACAAGCAGAAACAAAAGGAAGATTTTTTCTTCCGAGGAAAGACCGGTCAGGGGAGGCACGGGCACTCAATGTGCTCGCAGACATCTACTGCGACTTGAGAGAGGCTGGGGCTTTGCCCTCGCGAGGGCTTAAGGTCCCTTTCGGAGTCACTTGAGGGTGTCAGCTTTCCTTTGCTTTTCGCGTTTCGGGGCTTGTAGGCTCTCGGGATTCTTGAGGGCCGAAGGGTTAATGGTGTAGGGTTTGAAGTTGGGGGTTGCAGCTCAGACGCTTAAGGGGGTCGGCAGACCTGCAAAGTCTCACAAGAGATTGGGCTATATCGACCACAGTATCTCCTCGAGAGGAGGAGTTTCTTGATCGGCACTTGACTTGTAGGTCCCAACCTTAATCACCATCAGGTAGCCCTGTGACGTTTTGGGAGGGAAAGGGAGCTGTGGTCAGATTCTCCGGTGATGGCCAAGAAACAAGATCCCTTCTTTGAACTGATGCTCGAAGGTGAGTGTGCAGTGCTTGGGGCTCTAGGGGTTTGGGGCGTTTACCTTGAACGGCGCGCGAGCTGCGGGTCACGTCTAGCCGCCTAGCCTTTCATGTCTGCAGAAGCTGACAGGAGCAGGGTGAGTCGAGAGCTCGGGACACCGCGAGAGCAGCACCCTCCCCAACGCTTGCACCAAACCCTCAAAGCCTTGAACCCTGCGCCGGGAGGTGGAGCAAGCCGTGGCCATGTGCAAGGAGATGCGTGCAAAGCTGCAGGAGACAGGCCCGCAGTCACCACTCGGGGACGAAGAAAATCTTAAGACAGGGTTGCGGCGCCTGCAGGACGCCGTGTGTTTTGTGGGATTTGTGAAAAGAGTGGTTTTCGCAATGTGCTTAAACGTGTGGCAAAACGTGCGAATGGTTTACAAAGCTCAGCTAAAGAGTGTGAGAATCAGAGTGTGTGTGCGTGTACTTGTCTACGATTTTCTTTTGGTTCTGCAAAAGGATAGATACCCGACGAGCACGTGTGTGCACTAGTGTGTGGCTGCGAATTGTTGAGGGAGTAGCTAAGTGGTTGATGACTCCACTCTAAGCTTATCCGTTGAAAGTTGCGTTTGCCGGACAGAAGCGTAGTATCCAGAATAGTGGCAATAAAGCTTCCTTGTAGAGTCCCTGTATATTTTGCAGTAAGTTTGCACCAAAGCAATATTTAAACAATCAGGCCCCCTGAGTGAATGAGCACCACATGGCAACACAGAGTTACAGTCGTCTAACAACGAAGTCAAGAACAGAAGTAGAAAGACCGGTTTGTAGCTAAATTTACGTGACCACCGAGCAATCTCAAGCCGAGCGGCACCTAAGATTCTAAATCGTCTTGAGCCCACTTGTTCTACTGAAACCTCGAGAAACCCTCACCCACGACATCCCTAAACCTTTACAGTCGGGATTCTGATAATCCTCGAGGCGACAAGAAGGCAGAGGTGCTGCGGGGGGCACTGGCATTTGGGGGTCTGGGTCTGCGAGCTTTCTAGATTTCTGCAACCTATCTGTTTCTTTCTTGCTGTGTTCTATGTTGTCAGAGCAGTCTACAGTACTGGTTTGCTTCTTGTGGGTTCGGGGGTGCCAGAGGGTGTTTTGATTGGCACACTCGGTCCTGTTACTTGCATCCAGCAACTTCTCCTATCTCATTGCTGCTCAGCAGTGGAAAGTGGTTCATCGGCGCATGCCGCCTGGACTAGCAACGTATGAAGAGTAAAAGGCTTGGAGGGCTTGGAGGTCCTGTTTGATCAGGGGTTGGTGTCGTTCTTTCAGTGCCCAGTCGACCACAGGAAGGTTCCCTGTGTAGACTCATCGCCATATCGAACCGTGAACTGGAGGCTGGCATAGTTTTGGCGTGTCCAGTGGTGACCTAATTCAGAGTAACATCCTTTCAGTGACAACGATCTGAAAATGCCTGGCGAATCGGAACCAGAGCCTGGCTGGTTCTACAGCCGCTTTGTCATGTGTCTCAAAGAGCGGTGTCTTACGCATGCGACTCAATCACAAGTCAAGGGATGACAAGCCCCTTCAAATTTTCGGATCCAAGAGGAGTTTGAGAAACCATGGTTCGTTAATGCATGTTTTACCTTGCGGCGGGGCCTGCCCAATTGGAGCCTGTGAGTTGCCACGGTTTTCCGAGGAGAACCGAAGGTAAAGGCCATCGGACCTGTTTGGTGGCTGGAGGTCAATGATACTCGACTGTAGCTCGTTTCGTGGCACTCAGAAAGTCAGCGAAGCTAAGTTATGCTACATGTAGTCGTCGAATTGAAGTTCCACTCTGCAAAAGATTTACGCAGGTGACAGCCATCAGAGTGCTGTCCAACATTTACCTTGCATCAGAGATGCCTGGCGAGTCTCTTCGTGCAGCCAACGACGCAGTGCATCTAGCCTGCATCCATGAGTCGCCGAGGTCCGCAGTGATGAGTGAAGTTAGAGAGAGACTGGAGAGCGAGCAGCCACGTGAGAACTTTATTCCTTGCTGCATGCTGCAGCAATTCCCCAGGCAGATGTGCAAACGAGTTCATGTATCCCGGCTGCAGACGCGACGGCGTGTAGCCCACAAATTCTGGGTTGGTGAGCACAGATGGGGTACGGAATTTCGGCATTCAGGACTGGGTGCCAGATTCTTGACGGCGTGGAACTCCTTCCTATAGGGGCCTGAAAAAATCGGTTCCTGAGGGCTCCTGAGCAGACCCTAGCACAATAAAATGCACCAGAGCCGGGTTCCGTCACCACAGTTACCGACCATTGTTATAAGCCTCTACATGGAACTTACAAGCTTCAAACCTCTAAGACAAATCCTTGCCACATGAATTTGGACTAAGCCGAGGACCGACGACAGCTCGCCGAGAATTTGATCCTCGTGTCCGAGGCGAGCATCGCGCTGGCAATCCAGGAGAGGGCTTGGGCTTGTTTGGTTTGTGTGCGCATAGCCGCTTTAGAGTTTTGGGCAGTTTAGGGTCCCCGGCCTGCGAGATCGGCTTTGGGTTCCAGCGTGGACTTCGTCAGGATTTTTAGACGTTGGGGTGTCGGATTTCGGGTTTGAGGGCGGGTATAAGGGGTTTGAGTGCCACTTCCGTTGTTATGGCATTCCTTGTTGCGCATTAGAGGGTTTTGGGGCTCTGGGGTGTATGCGACTGCAGGGTTCAGGATAAGCTGTTCAATCGATTTCGTTGGGTCACAGCATGAACAGGGTCCAACCCTACAGCCCTAAACCGCCCTAGCCACCGGAGCTGCTGGGAAGAATTCTAAACCCTGAACCTTAGATTAGACCCTAAACCCCTTCCAGTGGAGAGTCCGGGTTGAACCCGACCGGCCTTTTTAATGCGTGATCGTAGCCAGATGCAGTTAGACGACGTTGAAGCCCGCCCTCCCCCAGCCTCAAGCCACCAAGCCTTACACCACCCAAAAGCACAGACACCTCCCTTCTTCAAAAGCCCCAATATTGGGATCGTCATTTTTTTATCCCTATCATGGGAGAGGGGTTTTTGGCCAGCGGCCTACACTAGCATCATTAGCCTAATCCCAAAGCCCGGCGAGGATAACCCGAAGGCCTTGGCTAAAGGCTCTGAGAGGTCGCTGAAGCCAGCACGCGAAGCTTTCAAGGCACTGTTTTGCGGTCAGGGTTTAGAGTTTCAGGTATAGGGAGTATAGGGTTTTAGGATTTAATTTTGAGATTTAGGTGTTTAGGGCGCAGAAGGGAAGCTTTCGAGGCCTGGGTGTGACGGGCAGAAGTGGTTTCATGTCCCGTACGTCGAACTCAAGAGGTACGCGCCGGGTATGCAGGAGCAACGATACTTTGGCATACTTCTTCAGTTGGGAACTCGCAGTCGCAGTGCAGGTCCACAGGTTCATGTGGGATTGATACCATGCTACGTGCAGAATCAGGACTATTTCCGCACAGGGTTTGCAGCGTCGCTGGGAAGGATCTGCAAGGTTTTTCCATGGAGTTCATGGCGGAATCTTTTACAGGGACCCTTCTGCAGTGACAGTCCATGGAGATCATTTTAGTTGTGTGTGTTGATGAATCCCCATGAGCTCAGAAGCCGGCCTAGGGGAATTTGCCCTTACTTAGCCAATGGGATTCAGCACTTTAAACTTAAGGCCGCATATACTTAGTCGATGACAGACAGTTTGAACTTTGTTCGGGCCCGGGTATTGGAGAAGAGAGTGGCTAAGGAGCCTGGAATGTGCCCTCTTGGCTGCAACCACCGCATGCAAGCCTCGACAACACTCGCCTGGCTATTCCTCGCGTGAGTGCCCAAGCCGTGGAATTCCAATGGAACTGCGTTTATAAGCCTAAGCCTTCAAACCCTCTAACTCCCTTAGGCCCGCAAAGGCACCAGAGTCCGAGCCGATCAGCTCCACAACATCTGAAAATCCCTTGAATTCCTATGCTCAAAGGATGTGTTTGACCCCATGCCTCCCGGAAAGGTGGCCAAGTCCATCGGTGCCGGGAAGATGATGGGCACCTATCCCGTTGTTAATGTTGGCTAGAGTAAAGAGTCTAGAGAGGTGCGAACATGAGGTGTAAAAGCCGAAGGGGTTTCAGGCCTAGACTATGCCAGGGCTTTTTTGGTTTGAGGTTGGCTCGGATTTCAGGCACATCCTTGTACCCGTTTGAGCGGAGAACGAAGTCAATTTGAGCACAAGCAAAGCGATCTGTTGATGAACTCTGCAAGTACGAATTATGCACAGTTATCTGCGCAGAGGCAAGAAAGTCTACCGCGTGAGGGCAGCCATCGTTCGCTTGTCAACTTGCACTTCAAGCACTTCGGATGTCGTTGTCGTGGTCGCAGCCGTAGTCGTACCGGCACTGGCAGTGGTAGCAGCAGTAGCAGCAAAAGCAGTCACAGTTGTAGTAGTGGCTTTGTATGAGCAGTTGTAGTAGCAGCAGCAGTGGTGGTGGTGGTCGT